GCCCCGTAGGAAAGCGATTTGAATTATATGAAACAATCAGCTCTGATCCAACCTTCTGAGGAGACAAGAAACAGTGCCTTGGTGTGTAGACATTACCTAGAAACTCGAGCAGCACCAAGCACATATTCACCATACCACCACCACCCCCATCAGATGTGGCCTAAGCAACAAAATATGCTTCATAGGATACAAGGAATAGAATTTTTTTTTTCCAGTGCTGGGAATCGAACTCAAGACCTCACGCTTGCCAGGCAGATGCTGTGCCACTGAGCTGAATCCCCAGCTTAAGTACTGCCCTTCAACTTATGAGCTGGGTGCCCCCAAACAAGAGGTGAAGGTGTTAGAAGTGAAAACATCCTGACCACCCACATCTCCTTGCTCTTTGTCTTCTCCCTCTCTTCCTTTGTCCATTTAGCTTTCTCTCTCCCTTCTAGGCCTTTCTGTTTGCCTCCTCTCCAACACACTAGGGTCTACTCACTCTCCCTCCCTTCCTTCCTCCCAGTTTGTTCTTCCTTGGCCCCTGTCCACACCCATTCGGCCACACCCTCACGCTGAGAATAGGGTGGAGTGTCTTTCCCAGGACCTGCTCAGTTTCTCTCTGAGCCCGATTTCATTCCTGGTGAATTCCTTGCTGTTGTCAATGTCTTAACGGGTTTAGAAAGCCTGCTCTCCCACAAGCTGGCACCTTTGTGTTTCATTTATCAGACCTCTGCCTTCCCTTCCAGGTTCTGCAAGATGCTCATGTGGTCTGAATTTCCACCTTGGGACTCTGGGGTGATGGAACAGAGGAGGCTTCCTTCATCTTCACAGCAATTGGAATCAAGAATCCTCAGTAAAATGCCCACTTCAGTGCAACACATTGCCTCCTTTCACTTTCCTATCAACTTTTATAGATTAAAATGGTGATTAGCATGAACTCAAAGGATTTCTCAACACAGGAGTAGTAGGATGTTAGAATTTCCAACTCTCAAGGGGCCTTGGCCAAGTTCAGTTTCCTCAAGCAAAGAGTGACCTGCCCAGTGTCCCACACTAGAGTCACGACAAGATCACAACCCTCCTGTCTTCCTAGCTAACTGTCTTTTACCTACCCCCAAATGCCTGTCACACTTCCAACCTGGGTCAGAAGTGTTCTCTACTTTAACGTTGTTTAAACAATGAATTTGTGAAACTGGCTTAGGAAATACAAAAACAGCCACAGCTACATAAGGCCAAGAGCACCCACAGCAGAGGAAATTCTGTTTAGGTCCAAATTCACCCTCTCCACATCAGGGAGGAAAATATTGGCCCCAATGCTTTGTTTAAAAGCTGGAAAGAGAAGCAGCAACCACCACAAGTGTTTGTGTTTTTTTCATCTTCATGCATCACTTTCAGTGAAATCTTCTAGTTAAATTAAGGCAAATGGCTTTACCAGTCAGAGCACGAGGGACTGACATGTAGACAGTCATCTTGGGGATGACTTGTTTTGGGGAAATGTGCTGGAAATTCAAGTACACTCATAACTGGATCCATATGTGGACTTCCTTCATTACTGAATAGCAAGGACAACCCAGAAATTCAGGGTCAGCTGGGCAGAACAAAGAACATTCTCTAGAAACTATGATCAGAAAATTCCAGTTCTAGGATAATTAAGGATAGAAGCCCTTCTCAAGTGACCGATGCCCAGATTGCCAGCAATTAAACAGAAGCTGCCTTTGATTGGCAGTCTGATCCTGTAGTTACGATGATACTTGGTAAATGCATAGGTGTAGACCACACGCACTATAGACCAAATTATGGGACAATCCACAAAAGGTCAAGTTATAAGCTTGTGTTTCTGGTTGGACTGATTTAACGATGACCTGGTAGGTAGTAACACTGGGTGTGTCCCTCTGAGTATGTACAGATGACAGTCCCAAAGGTCTCTGAGCTTTTCTGGTAGGCAGCTGTACATAGACATGTGGTAAAGAAGGTACCATATTTGTGTGCTTAGAAAATTAAGTAGCACAGAATTAAATTACATAGATATGATTGTCTAGGTATGTAGTTTCTAAATTTCCAAAATGTTCTTTTTGAGGCTCAGGTGGAAGGAAGAAAGGAAAGGAGTGAGGGAGGGAGGGAGGAAAGAAGGAAGGAAGGAAGGAAGGAAGGAAGGAAGGAAGGAAGGAAGGAAGGAAGGAAGGGAGGAAGGAAGGAAGGGAAGAAGGGATGGAAGGGAGAGAAGGGGAGAGAGAGATAGAGGAGGACTGCAGCTCTTCATGCTGTATTAATTTAATATTAAATAAGAGTTAGATGTCTAAAAGTTAAGGAGCATTGCATGGAGCAGCAACAAAACCAAAATAGATATTTTCTGGATCCTTTCAATGCTGCAGAACTTACAGAGGAAATGATCTTACTCAGTTTAGGAAGCTTTGATGATTAGAGCTGTCCAACAAAGGAGGATGAGTGTGGAGGCACCCTCAGATATCAGAACATTCCCTGAGGGGAAATTTGAGGGCCCTACAATATGACCATTTGTCCAAGATGGTGTTAATACTGAGTTTCTGTATGGTAGGAGAATGAATGTGATCTCTAAGATCCCTCCCAAATTTAGACTTCTATCAATGAAATCAAAGATGTAGTATAACTAATTTGCTTTGTACCCTTTTCTATAATGACTCTTTAGGTATAAACTCCATCAGGCTGTGCAAAATCTACTGAAAAAGAAGCTTTGCCTCCTCTTTAAGCTTCCCTAGGTCTCGGATTGTGCCCCCTCTCCAGTGCTCCCTGTGGGTCCAGCACTAACCTGAACTCCCAAGGGCCACCCAGCACTGCCAAGGTGGCCTCCACAAAGCCCATTCTTGAGCTAGGAACTGGACAGGCTTAATCTGGTCTCCAGAGAAAAGCAGATAGGGATGCACAAACCATCTTGAGTCCTTTCTGGGTCTGTAGAGGGGGGATCCTTCCTCTCCAGTATTGCCTGGTACTTCTGGAGGCAGCCAGTTTCTGAGGATGTGAATTGCTCTAGGCTGATCCCTCATGGCCATCCGCCAACTCCCAAGACAGCTTTGCACCCCTGAACAATGTAAAATCTGGAGACCCTCTGAAAAGGCACCAGACCGGATATCCAGCAGCCTGGACAGCACTCCGCCCCCACCCCATTCTTCAGCATCTGGGTGGACCCGGATCGCCTCTGAAGGTGGGAGGCCATGGGGGAAAAAAGTAACCTCCTATTTCATCATGGTTGTTGAAGACTTACAGCTGAAGTGCAGAAAAACTCTCCCAGCTGAAAGATTCTCCCAGTGCTTAGAGGTACAGCAGAGAGCAGAAATCAGATCAGAGGTTTTTGTTAATTGCCCTTGAACTCTAGGGAAAAAACATGCTGCATATTTTCTCACTTATAAAACTACAGTGTAATGTGAACTGCTCCACAAATAATGCAATTCTTGATGGTTACACCCTCAGGATTGTTGCTGTTTTCCATTTGCTCACTGGTTAGAGGTTGCTTATTAGTTTTATCCTGCACATAACTAAAAGAAAATTTGTATTATCTTCTTGGGATACCATCACTATGGATTTAATAATGGCTTTCCTAACTCACATCCATGTAATCTGGAAATAATAAACATTTGAAGCCCATGTAGGAATTCCCTGCTCCTTAAAAAGTTCCCCACCACTTACTTAATCACTCCCTCAGGGGCAGATTTACAAGGAGTTTTGCCTGTTCTGTGCACAGGCTGATTACATCTAAGTCTTCTCAGAGAAGAGCAAGCTGCATTTCTGAAAGAGAACCCTAACTTCGTCAGACAAGCTGAATCGTGTCATTCTCCTGTCTTGTTTACATGAAGAAAAAAAATAACTAGTGCGAGTGTTGCAATGAGCCACACCTCCATAGACACTTGAGGGAAATGCTAACTTAGTAAAACAAAAACAAACAGAAAAGGTGCCTTTCTTCATTTCCCTTGGCTCGCTTTACGCTTAGCATGAGCATTTGGTTTATATATCCACATTTTGGGAAAGAGTAAAAAGAAAAACATTCCAAAACAGTCGCTGCAGGAAAACGCTACATCCACTTAGAAAATTCTTTTATCACTTCTTAGACAGACCGTCTTTCTACTCAGCCCTGAAATGCAGCCGTTTCTGGGGTGGAAGTTCCCAGCCATTCAACAGGTTCTAATAGGACCCAAGGAAGCCCCTGTGCCCGACCCTCTCCTCCAAGCCTGGGTCTGCTGGTCTCCCTCACTTCCACATCTGGGAAGGAGAAGAGATTAGAATCCACAAGGGGCTCCTAATCCCACTAAATGAACCCCTCCTGGATTTTATTCGAAACACCGTTTGCCTCTCTCTGTTTCCCTGACAATTTCTTTTGGAAAAAACCAATCCCTTTTCCAATCCTGTGAGAAAAAGAAAAAAAAAAAAAATCAAATTTAAACCGAAGTGAATGTATAAATAATAAAAGTAAAAGACAAAACTAAACTGAAAACTATATATCAAAAAAAAAAAAAAAAAAATCAAATTTAAACCGAAGTGAATGTATAAATAATAAAAGTAAAAGACAAAACTAAACTGAAAACTATATATCCATCTATCATCACTCCCCCAGAAAACACCAGCAAACAACCCACAAGCAAAAAGAGATTCAAATCCTAAAGCAATTTGAATCAAAATAAAAAAGCTGAAAACAGTATCTAGCCAATTCAATGTCATTCCGCAGGTACGCAGAGTTCCCTCCACAGAGGCTATCCCATCCAGGTTTATTCCAAAGTCCTTGCTCCTGCCACACCTTCAAATTAAGACCTCAATTGCTACAAAAAAATAATAATAATAATAATTACAGCCCAATCCTGCCAACTTCCCTGTCCTCAAAATTACTTTCTGTGAACTTTCGGGGGAGAAATGGGCTCAGTATCCACTTTTAGCTAAAAGTTTTGAGGACTTTGGAGAAGCCCATAAAAGAAGCAAAGCAAAACCAAGGCTTAGATGAATTCAGAAGAAGGAGAAAGGAGACGCTATGCACAGCTTCCCCCGGGTGGGAGCCGTCCTACCTGGAGGATCCAGCGAGGAGGCAGACACTCTAAGTGGTCCGAGCTGGCAGCTGCCTGGTCCGCTCTTCTGGAGGTATGTGACCGCAGTGAGGGGAGGGACCTGCCTCCCGAGGTTATAAGTTTGCTCCGCTGGTGTGCTGGGGTGTGTGATGGGCGGTTTCTTTTCCCTGTGTTTTAAAGGAGTTTCTATGAATCAGTCTGGCTTAAAAAAAAAAAAAAAAAAAAAGATTTGTTGGTAAGCTACGCCCTGCTAAGTTGGCAGTCAGTCAAAAGTGGCTGGGAGTGAGCCATCAATTCAAAAAAGCCTGTCCTAGGCTCCCTCTGACTCAGATGCACAGACCACAGTGGAAAAAGGAGTGACATTGCTTCAAATGAGTAATAGGAGTCATACAAACAGATCTGTTTACTGAAGTCCATTCCTCCTCCCCAGAAAGGAGACTTGGTTACCATGGACATGAGCAAAATACAGGTTCTAGCAGGGGAGCTGGAGGGGGGGGGGAGGGACAGTCTCCTGTTAATTAAAATTGAACTAATCATCGAACAAGATTCCTATTCTCCCTCCCACAAGGAATGCATCAGCTGCTGCTCATTGTCAGGAATTTATTTCTGACTTCCCTGCCTGACCTTCACACACTGTCCTGCGGGTGGCTGTGGGACGTGGCCCGGAAAGCAGAAGGGGACCCACCTTGTGTGCTTATGACCTGCTTCTAAATGATAGGAACTGATTGACAGCTGACAGTCCCCGGTCTCGAATTATGCTCTCCGAATGAGAGCCCATATGGACTCCACACATCTCAGGAAGAAGTCCCCTAGTTAAGGACTTTGCTCTCTGATCTCCATGTAATAATCATCTGGACCTTGTTCCACAATTGACTTTCTTGAACACAGCAGTGGCATGATCATCCAGCCACCTCCCTGTGCCACTCCTTTCTGTCTGTCCTGGAGCTGGGAGGGGCCAACAAAGGCATCCAGTCCCACAGCCTAAGCCTTCCACCAGGGAGATTCAGAGCCGGCCTGGACGCCTGAGGTTAAGCTCTCACTTACACTCGCTACCTGAGCGACACTGGGCAAATCACAGGCATTCTCTGTGCCTGTTTCCTTGTATATAAGAAGTAAGTAACTGTCTCCAGGAGCTCTGGTGAGAAATTCCTGCGTGGAGCTTACAACAGTACACACGTTAAGCACGTAATGTTAGCTACAATGATTATTTTCCTTAAGAAACTCAGGCCCAGAGGGAGGCCAAGTGACTGTCCAAGCAGGCTCAGTAGGCTGGCAGTAGCAGCTTGGATCCCAGTCTAGCAGCCCCAAGCAGTTCTATTTCTGTTATACTCTGCTGTATCCCAACAACAGATTTCAATGTGAAGTCTGCTCCTATGCTAATATATTCTCTCACCAAGAATGCTGCACAACAGCCTTCACTGGGTCCTGTTCAGAACCGGGTCACAGCAGTGAACAAAATCCCTGACCTCTTGGAATTTAAGTTGTGTAGAAGGATAGAGAATGGACTGGTGGCAATTCATCAAAATGTTGATAAATTTAGGTGGTAAAATTATAGGTACATTTTGTTGCTTCTTGTCACATTTCTGTATTTTTCGAATCCTCTCCAATGTACCTATAGGTACATTCAAAAAGAAGAAAATATTTTCTGAAGCGGATGAAGGAGAAACACCACACAGACACACACACACATAGACACAGACACGCACACACATAGACACACACAGACACATACGCACACAGTGATTTGATGCCATTTCTCCACAATTTCCTAGGAACTGAATTTTATCCCTATGAAAATAACCAAGTCTATGTTTTTTCATTAAAAACTGATGATGTGACAAAGATTGCATCAGTTTCTCAAGTATTTCCTCAGCCCCCCATCAGTCACTTGATGATAAAAGTCTGGGAGATGCCACTCCCAGCAGTGGGTTGATCCCCGAGATTCAGCAGCCCTGCCCTCAGGGAGGGAGGGTGCCTGAAGGTGAGGCCGAATCCTCCCAAACCATGCGGACAGGCACCTTCTCCCTGCCAGATCTGTCTCCTGGGACTTTTCAGACCCTTGGGGTACGTTTGCCCTCTGAGGCCTTATGCCAGTTGCGTTTTTTAAAAACAGAAACCCAGGGAATATTGGAGAGCAGGGTTCTCCCCCCGGGTCCTACCTAAGCCCCTGGTGCCTCTCTGGGTTAGCAAAGGAAAAAAGCAGAAACTCCTGAAAGCACTTGAGTGGAGGAGTTCTCCCGCCTTCTGGATTTCCACAGTGGATTCAAGGAGTGGACAGAGCGAGGGGCGCTGAAAAAGCAGAACCCAGAAAGCAGGAGTTCTAGTTTTTCCTTTCCTACTGCCAGGCTGGGGCAGGAGCAAGTGATCTGCCCGCCTGATTTTCAGCCATAAAGTGAGTACAAATCACTGCCTTCCAAATAGGCCTAATGAATCCCATCTTCCTTCATGCTTTGGAGATATTTGGGCTTGAAGAGAATACTCCAGCTCTTAACAAACACACACACACACACACACACACACACACACACACACACAGGGGCCATATAGAGCCCAATATTTGGTGTAAATATTTTTTAAGATACATGCTATTTAGGAATTTTTAAGTCTCATAGTTGACCCTTGCGATATCACTGGGCTGATTTTATAAAACTGTTATCAAGTCTGAGAAAGAAATCAGATCTGTTCTGGTCAAAGTTAACTTTTATTGCGCCTCTGAATGCGATTAAAACATTAACACCTGACTCTTCTGTGGCTACGAGCGGAGGATTACATGACTTTGGATGGTAGAGGGCTTAAGGGTCTAAAGCACATGGGGCTGGGAAATGGGCTCTCTCTGGCATCTGCATGGTCTTTCATTTCAGAGGAGAAACCTGCGTTTCTGCTCTGCTCCTATTTCCCCCACTTGGAAGGTAGATGAGACACATTCATTTTCCACACGGGCAAAGGCTGGGCAAAGTTTCACTAGAGCTCAGTAAAGCCATAGGTTCCTGGGAAGGAATGTCCCCCCTTCCCCAGTACAGCAGTGTTACTGGTGCTCAGGGTTCCGCCCCCTCCTTTGGAGTAACAGGAATCCACTTCTGGCATGGTGCCTTTTAGGGCAGATTTTCAAGTCTGAACTGGCATAAACACTGTTAATGAATGTATGAAACCAGGGCTTTTAATGACTGATCCAAAAAGTCTCCAAAGGTAGGTCTGGCCCTAGCAACCCACAGAAAAGAAAACTAATAATAGCTTGAAGTTGTTCATGCTCAAACTCAGCCAAAAAGAATCCCAATCTTTGCAGCATGTTCTCCCAGGCTATTATATGTGCAAAGGATGTCAATGTTAATACCAGCACACATTGAAAAGTAAACAGATTGCAAAAAGCAGAAAAAGTTATACAGTTTCTTCCAAAGTCAAATGAACGCTCGTTCCTCGCCACACCTCTGAAATTTGAGAATTAAGCAGAAATTCTCTATCCCCTACTACCCTTTCCTTCCTCTCACTTCTTTCCACCATAGGTCTTTCTTTGTTTTTCTCAAGGGATAATTTCTTCTTACTTTTCTTGTTAATTTTCTTACGTATCACTCAGTAACTCTAATTTTAATGTGGCTTTACAAATGAGAAGTCTCTGAACTATTCGTGTCCCCTCCCCCTTGTCTCTTAGCTGGTCTATGCTGAAACTGCTCTGGAAAGATAATACTGATAAGATTCAGAGGGTGTTCCGAGAACATGGGCTCCTGGCCTGACGCTTCGAGCTAAACAGACAGGAAAGTCTCACTAATGAAGTAGTGCACATCAGTACAGAAGAGAGGTAGCCACGACGATGACATCTGAACTCAGCAGAGAAAAAGCCAAGCCTGCGGTGCCAGACAGTTACCAGATGGAGATTAATTGCTGTGATCAGTTTCTTCAGGAAATTGGGGATGCATATGGATGATCGAAATGGCCAGAAGAAAAGACCTCCTGAGCCATGGCCACAGGGAATACAGCCTCATAGTCAGAGAAGAATAACGAGCACACAAATAAAAAGCAATTATGACCAAAATAAAAAGTGAAAAGATTCTCTCTCCAACGAAGGTCTACTGCAATATTAGAAGGTCGAGCAGGGGACTATTAATTGTATGGGTTTTGCGTTGCACTTTGCCTTTCATGCTCCTAAGAGCATTGTTCCTACTATTTCATGGACCTTGGCAAGTTAAAAACTGATTATTCATAATTAAGGACTGAGCAATAGATCCAATAAGTAGTTGCTGGCTGCATAGCAGGTGCTCAGTTAAAATGTAATACAACTAATCAGTAAAGTATCCAATACCCAAGCATTTAAAAAGAAATCTCATGTTTTCCCTCAAAATTTCTTTCCCTCAAACTCATTCTCATTAGACTACTCCTCCAGCTAATCCTGCACAGCTTTGGGAAAAGTAGTTGGGACACTCCCATCAATCTGTGCAAGGAAAATTGTCATCAAAGGGAGCACAAACCCAAGCAATCCAGCCTCTTGTACTTATCATTATTATTATTGTTACTGTTATTAATGTATATTAATTTTACAAATGAACAGGTTTCACTCCGACATTTCCAAACATACATATGGTATGCTTGGATCATGTTAACTTTCCCTTGTACCTGTATTTCTCTCCCCTTTCCCCGTAGTCCCCTTCTCCACCTTTAATAATCCATCTTTTACTTTTGGCTATCTTTTTTTTTAGTTTCCGCGTATGAGGGAAAACATGCTATGTTGTCTTCCTGTGTCTGGTTTATTTTGTTTACCAAGATGATCTCTGGTTCCATCCATTTTCTTAAGAATGATATTATTTCAGCAGAATAATAATTACATTTTGTATTTATGCTATATTTTCTTTACCCATTCATCTGTTCATAAGTACCTTATAGCCTAGGGATCTTAAAACATATTCCTCATAGGACTGCACGGTCAGCAAAGCACACAAAACCCAGGGACGTGCTAAAAGTGACCTTTGAGACCTAATTAACAGTCGGAGAAGCATGAATTATTTCTCATGGATCAAAAACAAGCACTAAGGAGAAACACTTGGCCTCTTTGGAAAATGAGATATTCTTCCAGGTTCAATTTTAGGATAATGGGTTGAAATGTTAACAAGACCTCATTTGAACCTTTAAGTCATACACACACACATACACACACACAGATGCCAGGTCTAGCCTACCCTTGTAGGATGCTGG